GATATGGGTTTATCGGAGTTTTATTCAGATATTTTTTAACTAAATGTACTTTGTGCTTGCACGTTACGGTTTCATGCACACCGTAACAAATAACGGTGAAATGTGTGCTATTTCGAGTTTGCATTTAATTAACAAAAATTGTCAATGAAAAAAGCTCAAACGATGGCTTGCGCAGTACAGTCGTCAAATATTGAAAATTCACGTACTTATTGAAAAAAAAAAAAAAAAATAGCCCATTGTGACTTTGACGTGTATAGTTGGTATTTTTACTGTTTATTTTAATTGTATTACACGGTAACAATCACGAGACAAAAGCTATTCATCAAGCCGAATCGCCGAGCCTAAGCCTGCTGCCAAGTTTCGGGTAATCCTACCCAAGATGTATACGTATATGTATGGGTAGACTTCCCGGGATATCTCCGGAGCCCGTTGTACTCCAGAGGGCCGAGGGGAGGGCGATGAAACTCTAATTACTTCGGGACCCTCGCGATTTCTCTTCTCGCTTGTACCCCGAGCGCGGAGCTTGATAAGAGCTTCGGCCAATTTTCGACGAAAATTTCACCGGGAGGGAGGGGGGCGATAAGTTTTTCCTCGCAGATCGCGAGCTGTAATAGCTCTTTGTGCGTTTTCTGATTTCTCCATTTTTCTTTTCCCCACGATGGATTGACCCACGGAGTGGAAAATTCGAGGTTTCGTTTTTTAAGTAAGTGTCTCATCAGTTGCGGGAACACCCGTTTTGGTGAAATCGGTGGAGAAGATTGAATGTAATGCTTCTGGTGTAATTTAATTCTGGAAATTGTTGGCTTGCATTGATGTAGGTCACTTGTACGTGCGAGCCATTGCGCTTTAAATTTCTTGGCGCCAACTGGAACATAACTTGACTGCGGAAAAGCAACGCTTTAAATGCTAAAATGTACAGCCAGTCTTTTCTGCAGGTAGTTGAGCTTAAATTTCTTTAAAGTGAAATAGTGTTCTATTTTGTGCGAAAGCTCGAGAGCATTGTGTTTTTGCTCCTCAGAGTACTTTTATTTTGCGAAACCAGAGCTGTTCACATTTCCACTTTTTCAGGTTGCAACTTGTAATCGTTAATTCACGAATCTCCATACTTAAAAAAAAAAAAAAAAAAAGAAAATAAGTAAATAATAAATAATTGGACAAACATTGATATTTTCTTTATCGGACATGCGATAATGATTTCGTGGCTTACACGTCAGTATTACCTTTCAAATGTACCCAATTTTCAATAATATTATTTCGTTCACCTGAACCTGTATGATTTGCTGGTCCAACAAATTTACCAACTGTCTTGAGACTATTCTATTTTAAGTATTTACTTGCCTCTACGTATTTCAAGTGCTACATGCCACAATTGATTCATATGTATTTACAGTTCATTCTATGCATAAAGATTATTATTATTTTTATATTATATCATACAATCAATACATTATATCACATGATTTATGTTGGATTATCTACGTTACTCGCATTATGTTGCAGTCCTTTACGGTGAGATCGTATTATTTTTATTTTTGATTAAAGAAAATTTTTTTAAACACATTAATACGCATATACTCTACGTTTAAGGGTACTGTTGAACACTCAAATTTGTGAAAACTCATGCATTTTAATTGTATATCGTAAGCAAAGATTACTTTCAGCGGTATCATGATATACAGAGTCACACAATACATTCATATACTGTACACTCGAGTGAAGCGGCTGCATCAAAGTAACACGCTACTGTTTTTCACTCGAAAACTCGCGAAACTATTTCCAACCCACGTTAAAATTGTTGCGGTTGAAATGGTAAATTTTTCCTCTGTAGAAAAAAAAAAAAAAAATGCGTTGAGCGTTTTAATCAAGTCTCACACGTATTTCTATCATTGTACCCTTTCACAATAATATTTATCACCAAAATAAAACGAAGTACTTATCAATTAAAATACCATCAAAATATTATTAAATTTTTTTTTTTTTTATATTTACAATCGAGTAATAAAGCACATCACGCACACCCAGTGCACAGACTAGAGTAGCATTTTCAATTATACACCTGGAAACTACTCTAAAAACAAGATTCGTGAATACAGAATTGTTATTTAAAAAAGTGTTGTGTAAAATATTGACCCCCTCCCTCCCCCACCCGCGAACCACTCTATTGATGCGTCTTTGGTGTTTACTCACTGGACCACGGATAAACACGTGTGCACGAGCGTATAAATGTGTAAATGTGTAAACTCGTGAAGTGAAAATGAACTGAATCAGTACGGTGTACGTAGCGTAGGGGGGGGGGAGAGGGGGGTAATATTGGTGCAATCATCGCTATAATACTGGAAAATTTTGAGTGAAATCATTCGAGTCGTGCGTGGGGGTGCTTAATGGAATTAACGCTAGTGTGGCAAACACTTTGCTGTACTGCAATAACTGAAACGGACACAACATAATATGTTGGAAGAGCCGAATTTTTCGATGGCCAACGATAACAGTTACTGTGCAGGTTTCACCAGTTTCTTTCACTGATTCAGTTTAATTTTTAAATTGGAAAAAAAAAAAAAAAAATTGTGCTTGAATAAATGTTGTTGGTTGATGAAAAACATCAGGAATAGAGAGAGAGGGGGATCTGCGAATGACCTATCTGGTACATCGTGATTGAAAACGCTGCAACGGTAATTTGAGTTTACGTCCGTCACGAGTGGAATTTCATGTCCGTAAGTCATGATTGGATCGTGGAATATGTAGATAGGCAGTCTGCGACTGCATTGTTCCGTAAAACTGTGATGTTATTCTGAAATTCATCAACGTTAGACATTTCGTGAAGGATATTTGAAAGAAGCCCACGAGTACAAAATTTATGCAGGCGCTGGTTCTGTGTAATTTTTTTTCTTTGTTTTCCATGGTAGGTGAGGGATTTCTTTTTCTCTTTGCAGCACAAAAGAGGGTACAAATGAACTAGAGCTAGAGCGTAATTTTTCTTCAAACAAATGGATGAACGATGGAGTTTGTTGTTATCTTCGTGCTTGGATAATGTGTTAACAAATTATTTTAGCTTAACGAGTTACTCATACAATTTATATTTCAGCTTTTAGATTTAGTTTTTAATTTGTCTGTGGACATGGTACTCTCAAATTATTATAAAAGAACAATGAGTAATTTTTATTGCGTTCAATTTGACCACTTGACTCAAAAACTTTTCAATCTAGCAATTAAAAGTTTTATTTACCCAGAGTTGAAGCAGTTGATCACAACTTTTCAATTGTAAGTGGAACAACTCTTACAGGTCTTTTGATAATTTTACGATTCAAAAAGTTGAGAAACAAGAAACGCAGTAATCTCTGGAGAATTTCAATGTCTTTAAGAGCAAAGTGGGGAGAAGTGGTCGAGTATACGATGTCCACACTGTGATGCTTTTTAATTGGTTATTTTTTAGTATTGGTTTTTTATTTTAAAACAAAATAAAAACTTCTAACAGTTACAAAAACTCAAATGGCTTTCTCATCGATGCTCGTACTATAAAGACATCAAGAGAAAATTATCAATGTAATCATATAATTCATGCCTTATTTATATGATAAACAAAACGAACATGTTATTCTTCAACGAAAGGTTCCAAGTAACTAAATAACAAATCAGATTTGCATGATCAAGGCAAATAGACTATACTATGTATGTACATACACACATAAAATTTTTTCAAGCAGCCGCAGGTGTCAACTAGGTAATATATATGTAATATTAATTTTCAAGCATAAAGCAGCAATTTTTTTTTAGATTTTATTATTTTTCATTTTAGTTGTTGTTTCTCCGTTAATTTCATAATTGGCTCATTAAATTTATCGTCGTCATAATTTAACAAACCGACTCAAATACTATGCACCGTTTCATAGATCTAATTTTTGTAGGTAAGAGTTTAGCATCGATCGAATTGAAAAACAAAAGATAGGAAAAAAAATTAAATAAAAATAGCACTGACCCGTACTCATAACTCATAACGTATACGTATCAATAGTCGAAAAAAATTTACGATGTACCTATTCTCGAAAAAAGAAAAAAAAAAAAAAAAAAAAAAAAAAAAAAAACCCCCCCGTGACAATCAACAAGAGCAATGACGTAAAGCACTCACCTCGGCTCCCTTCCTCGGTGTTATTGACCATGATGAAAGCAAAAGTTCCGCCGACAATTGTCGTTGTTTCAATCACCTCGGAGCTTGTGCATTACCCCCCCAAAAGCNTTTTTTTTTTTTTTTTTTTTTTTTTAGAAAAACAACATATGTATATACATTTATGTATATATGGAAACGATTACAAAATTAGTTATGGTATAATCATATAGATGAACAAAGAACGATGCACGAACGACGAACGTTTATAACGTGTCAAAACATTGTCATTACAAAAGATAAACAGGAATGCATTGTATATGTGTACATATGTATGAGGTACAATATTTATATAAAAATATTTATATATACGCATATGCACGAAATTTATATAAATACACACACATACATACATACATATATATTGATGTCGACGTTCAACAGCGCATCTCACGAACGAACGAGCCAAATGAATCGTTATTATTACGTATATATAAATATATATATGTATGTCAAACCAGCGAGAGAGTGATGTGGTAATACGATATCAATCAATGACCGATCGATCAATTTACCTATGGACTTTTTATCCCTCGCGTTGCAGACTATTTACTTGTGAAACGCAACAGGCCATTAAATATATACATGTACATGTCTTATTTCATGGAAAAGAAAAATGTAACGAGTTGGCGCGTCTGTTGCGAGGTCACAGGTACGTAGTCTAAATGTACGCGGGTCCAGAGAAAAACGTGTACTCAGTTGATGTAATGGAAAACAAGATCGAGCGGGGCAAGGCCAAAACAACAATACCCGGCACATTGAACAAAAAAAAAAAATTAGACGAAAAAAATTAATAGTCTCTCTCTCTTTCTGGTTGAAGGAAATGTCACACTCTCGGCACCTTGAAGCCGTCATAGGTCCAGGAGCCTAACTTCAAAACGCAGGTCTGTACGTCGTAAGGAAAGAACTCAACGTCGATGGAGCAGGAGGACTTATAAACTGCCGGCGGCTGCCAGACGACCAATCCGGAATAGTAGACGGTGGCTTTGGTCATCAGGGTCACCTCGTAGTTGCCGTCGGCGCTGCGAACACCGTAACAGAAACAAAAAAACAAGCCCCAGATGATAGCTGTACGCATAATTCGTCTTGCTACCATTTTTCTCAACCCCTGTTTTTTTTTTTTTTTTTTTTTTTTCTTCAAATACAATAGCTGTACTGCAATAACTGAAACGGACACAACATAATATGTTGGAAGAGCCGAATTTTTCGATGGCCAACGATAACAGTTACTGTGCAGGTTTCACCAGTTTCTTTCACTGATTCAGTTTAATTTTTAAATTGGAAAAAAAAAAAAAAAAATTGTGCTTGAAGAGCGTGGGAGA